TGTTCTCATCTGCCAGGACAAGGACAGAGAAAGCAATATGTCGGAACCTCCACTCAAACTTGCGCTGCCACCAAGAAGTAATGGTCCATTCAAATGCAAGGTTTGCATTCAACTCCTGCATCAGGAACAAATAGTACAAGAGAAGATGCTAAACCTGCATAAGGAAATACCACTTCTACAAAGGGGAGCAAGTAAGGCAAGTGAAAATGATGCATTGAAGCATGTGGAGACAAGCTACGACTGCATATGCTGAGCTATCCTCTAACCCTCTTCAATACGAATTGGAGAGATTGAACAAAGAAACAGAAAAAAAAAGGAGTAAGCTCAGACCTTCAGGGAAGACCAAAAGAATCCTGCTGCCCAGTTCAAGAGTAGCACAAAGGAAAATCAACGATATGGGGAGACCAAAAGAATCCTCCAGCCCAGTTCAAGATCAAGCCTCGATGGCCCTTGAAGAAATCACAAGTCCGATTCAAAATCAAGTGTTCACCACCCTTGAATCAAATTCAACTCCAGATCAAAGGAGTAAGTTCAGACCTTCGGAGGAGACCAAAAGAATCCTCCAGCTCAGTTCAAGATTAAGCCTGCGGAAAATCAACGATTGGAGGAAACCAGAAAATCTTCCAGTCTAACTTAAGATCAAGCCTCGATGGCCCTTGAAGAAATCTCCAGCTCAATTCAAGATCAAGCCTCGACGGCCCTTGGGTTGCCATCTACGTTAAGGGACTTCAAAACGCATCTTCTACACGTGACAAGCACATGTCTACGACACGCCTTGAAGTGGGGGCATTTGTAGACATCAAAATTTCGGTGAAATAAATGTTGACCAAAAATTAAAATTTCAACGCTCACGTATCACATAAATTTTACATGTAGCGTGTAACTCAACGAAAAATCGAAATAAATTGGAAAAGTCATCAAATAGGACACGTGTCAATACCTGGCAGAAATGATTTATTTCATCTGATTATTTAAATCCAAAAATCAAGTTTCGGAATTCTATAAATAGGAGGCCAAGGCATTCATTTTGAAGGAGGAAGAAAGAAAGAAGCCTTGAAACTCTAAAGCTCTCAAGCAAATCCCGAAGAATCAAGAAAGCACTTTTCGTTCATCGTTCATCACCCATCAACCTTCAAGATCAAGCCCCAACAGCCCTTGAAGAACTTCCACCAACTCAAGATCAAGCCCCGACGGCCCTTGAAGAAAGTGTTCATCGTTTATCATCCATCAACGCAAGATCAAGCCCCAACGGCCCTTGAAGAACTTCCACCAACTCAAGATCAAGCCCCGACGGCCCTTGAAGAAAGTGTTCATCGTTCATCGTCCGTTCATCCTAAGATCAAGCCCCAACGGCCCTTTGGATCAACAACCTCAACAAATCCACACATCCAATCGTTCTTCAAGATCAAGCCCAAAAGCCCTTGAAGATTCGTTCATCCACCAACCTTCAAGATCAAGCCCCAACGGCCCTTGAAGAACTTCCACCAACTCAAGATCAAGCCCCGACGGCCCCTTGAGGAAAGTGTTCATCGTTCATCATCCGTTCATCCTAAGATCAAGCCCCAACGGCCCTTTGGATCAACAACATCAACAAACTCATTCTTCAAGATCAAGCCCAACACCTCTTGAAGATCCATTCATCAACTGTTCATCCTTAGATCAAGCCCCGACGGCCCTTTGGATCAACAACTCATCCACAAACCCACACCTTACGAAGATAGAATCAGAGGACCAAATTACAAGGAGATTGTAACCCCAAAATCATTAATACAAAATATATATTTTGTACACGTATTCTTGTCGCTTGTTTCAGGAATTATTCGTGTTTACAAAATTTACCCGACTTTTTATTTTGTATGGGTATAAATCAATTATTTATTGAATTGAATTAATCTATGAGGGTAGATTGGGTAATAAATTTGGATTTAAAGAGATACTGATCTTTGGTAAAAATAATATAGGTGTAGAGAGTAAGTTGAGTGTAGAGATAAGTTATATCAGTTCGAATAAAAATTTCCAAATCCTTATCTGCATCCTTGAGCGGATTGAAAATCTTTGTAATGGAGGCGATATCTGCTAAAAGATAAATGATTGGTTCTAAAACAGATTTCACCAAAAGTGATGTAAAAAGACTTGATTTTATTTTTCATGAATTAAATTGAATTGAATTTATTTTATTATTCAAGAAAACGTGATGTAAAAAGACTTGATTACCACTCAACTAAAAGATAAATAATTGGTTCTAAAACAGTTTTCATTTGTTATATAGTACTTTTAAAATAATTTTTATCAATGATTGGTTCTTAACTATTAAGAGCATCTTAAATTGTAAGCACAAACAAATTGACAAAATGGTACCATGATAGTAGTTGACGTGATATGTTGCCTATATAATTGCCTCGTATTTATCACTCAAATAGACTAGACAAAATTGTGCTTTAATTTTTTTTTTTTTTTAGTACATCGATATTTTTACATTAAGGGTAGGGGGAGTTCGGTTAAGCCACACAATGAGCAATCTAATTTGGTATCAAATTTGCCATCCACGAGATTTGAACCTAAGATCTCTCACTTCCAAGTGAAGAGGAATACCATTAGATCATAGTACTGAAATATTTTTCACTAACCTTTTATCTTTACTTTGTCATCTTTCTCTAAATGAAATATATTTTTTTAGATAAAAGTTAACTTCGAATCAACGTAAAGTGTCAATGAGTTGATCTTTGCAAGGTTGCTTTAGAAACCTAGTGCAAATAGTCGGCAGAGAAATAAGGGATAAGGAAACAAACACAAGGCATAAGCAGTAAGTTGGGCTACATTCACGAAGGTAGAGAAGTTTTCATTTATGTAAGAGTTTACATGATACTACGGTTTAAGCACAATCATCATTAATAATATCTAAATATCGATTAAGGAATCCTAGATTTGAAGGAACTTAATTATGGAAGAGTGATCTCCTTTTAAAATTGAGAAAAGTCCTCTATTGTCATTCGCGGTTGATGTGGGACTCTAGTATTGACACGTGTCACCTTGTGATTGGTCTCCTAATTGGAAAGAAACTCATGTGCTTCAATAGAGTGCCTCAACACAAACTCTTTAGTAAGTCTTCAAATGTATACAATTGATCAGTGTCTAGTAGTTTCGGGTTGGTGAAATATGGTACAAACAATAGTTTCAAAACAAATATGTACTTTAACAAATCATTGAGACGTTTAGGGCAAACAAATATTTTGTTTAAGAAATATGTACTTGTACAATATATTGTTTTGTTTATTTAATGACCACAAATAAAAAGGACATGTAAAAGTTAAAAATGAAACGTGAAAATCACCTAGCTTACTTAATAGTGTAATAAGTGTAATTCTATAGACATTCGTATAAGAAATATTTAGGAAAAGTTTGTTTGAATCCACATAACATACACCGAACTTAAATTGTAAATGCAAATTGTCTTTTGTAGCCTATTGCATAATTATCATTAAGTATAAGATGAAATTAACCATAAAACTACAATTTATCAATAAATCCACACCCAATAATCAAAGTCTACCCTCATACAATCTTTATCCTCCGTTCATTTTGACTAAAACCCTAAGAGCTCTCATAGAGAAAAACAAGCTTTAGTGGGACGTTGAAGTTTTGAATCCTCAAACTAAGTTATATTTTTTTTTGTTTTGTAAATTTGGTACAGTTGCTTGTAACATTCTAATTTTCTATATATGATGAAACAATTTTTGACGAAACCAAATTTATTTAGCTAGAATGGTAATTATTTAAAAAGTACATGCATGTCTGACGAAGAATGGATGCCCAATGATAAAATGCTTCTGAAAGTGCTGCATATATTTATGGGAAAATTTTGTTTTATCCTTCACCTTTGCAAGAACAACATTCACTTAGTCATGCACCTCTAGCTGGTACTCTAAAAGTGAAGCTCATACTTCCCTGGCTCCTTTACTATTGGAGACAGAGTTTCAGAGGTTTCATCAGAACCAAACATCTTGTTACTAGTATAGGTTGAACCATTATTTTCAAATAAAGGTGGCTCCCCACTTTAAAGTTGTTGAACTCTACATCATTTGGTCCAGAGGATCTACTGCGCCAAGACAAATAATCCAAAAGGCTATTTTGATTGATAATATCACTCGATGCATGGGAAATCATTCCCATCTACGTTACTGCATAATTAAATATTTCCGCCACTAAATTTAAAAGTTTAATGAATTTACGTGAGTTTTTATTTTGAATGGGTGTAAATATAAGTTACATATTGAATTGGGTTAATTTGTGAGGGTAGATTGGGTAATAAATTTGAGTTTAAAAATATATGGATAGTTTGGTTAAAAATAATATAGGTGTAGGAAGTAAACTGAGTGTAGAGATAAGTTATATGAGCTCGAATAAAATTTTTCAAATCCTTATCTGCATCCTTGAGCAGACCGGCAATCTCTGTAACGACCGCGGTAACAGAAGAACTTTCTAGTTGCTGTTGTTGTGTTTTGCTTTTTGGGCCGCAACTGTTGATTGGTCCTTTTTGTAGTCTGTTTGTTTGGCCCTTTTTGCTTGTTTATAAGTTAAGTTTGGGCCATGGGTTATGTATTTGTATGTATTGCTTTTTGGTGTGTAATAAAAAGCTTGCTTACCCCAAAAAAAAAAAAAAAAAAAAGGATAAGAAATCCTTATCTGCATCCCAAAACCCCATAAGCACGGAAGTGGTGGAGAGACAGAAACGGAAAAAGGATGTTGGGCGCAAAAAAAAAAAAAAAAAAAAAAAATGCAGACCAACAATCTCTGTAACGACCGCTGTAACAGAAGAACTTTCTAGTTGCTGTTGTTGTGTTTTGCTTTTTGGGCCGCAACTGTTGATTGGTCATTTTTGTAGTCTGTTTGTTTGACCCTTTTTGCTTGTTTATAGGTTAGGTTTGGGCCATGGGTTATGTATTTGTATGTATTGCTTTTTGGTGTGTAATAAAAAAGCTTGCTTACTTGGAAAAAAAAAAAAAAAAAAAAAAAAAATGGATAAGAAATCCTTATCTGCATCCCAAAACCCCATAAGCACGAAGTGGTGGAAAGACAGAAACGGAAAAAGGATGTTGGGCGCAATCTCCATAGCTCCACCTTCAACGGTTACATTTCCCTCAAAGCTGCTGTCGCCAGTCTCCAAGTCCTCCTTCAATGGCATGCGAGTCCAACGCCTTTGCCCAAACATCGGCGTTCGTCTTCCGACGGAGTCATCTCGGAGGCCGTGCTCGCCGTCGTCTTCGGTTGTGATGATGGCCAAGAGAGAGGAAGAAATGAAGGAAATCAGGACCAAAACCACCGAAGAAATCAACGAGGAGGTGGTCGACCTCAAAGGAGAGCTCTTCATGCTTCGCCTCCAGAAATCGGCTCGCAACGAGTTCACTTCCAGCGAGTTCCGTCGAATGCGCAAAAGGGTAATTATCTTTTTCTTTTTCTTCGAAATTATTTCTCATAAATTGAATGAAATTATGAAATGTGGGCTTTAGTTTCCCTAATTTCTGCGAAAATTATTATGCTTGTTCAGAGAGAAAATGATGGGGAAGGAAGTTAGAACTTTCCGATTAGATGAAATTGGATTTCCAAATTCCAATTCACAGTGAGTAAAGTAAGCATCCCCATTATTTAGAAAAGGGTAAATTGAGATCTAGTTCCGACTTGACTACGGTACATGCATTTACTTAATACGTTCACCTTCGAATGAGTCCCTTCATCCATCGGGGGCGTGCGTCAGTGAAACCCGTGTTGTTATATGCAACCAAAAGAGAGAATATCATATATGAACATATGTAACGGTTCCATCAAGAAACAAACTGCATTCCATCAAGAAGCAAACTGCATTCCCACACCATTTTTCAAGTCATCAATGCACTGCCATCTGAGTAGAGATTGCTTGTTTATTAGAATTCCGTTACTTGTTTGCTATCCTTGTGTGCAAATGTGAGTTTTTGGGGTTGTTGCTCTACTTATGTGAAGTTGCTTTTCAATCGTAGATTGCTCGCTTGCTTACTGTTAAACGGGAAAGAGAAATTGAGGAGGGAATTGGTAAGAGGCTATCAAGAAAGTTCGATCGACAATGGAAGAAAAGCATTGTTGTTAGACCGCCTCCGTCGTTGAAGAAGTTGCAAGAGGAAGAAGCAGCTGCAGAAGCTGCTGAGAAGGCTGCATCTGCATGAGCCATATGCAGTATTCGGCAAATACCATGTACTGGTCTACCCTTGAAAATTAGAAATGTCGAATTTTGTTGGTTTAAATCATTGTTCAAATTCTGTTTCAGACAATTTATTTGTTTATAACATGATCTGTTGTAGTATAACATGATCAAATCCGGTCGACGTCAAAATTTGTAAACTTCTTTTTAACGATTTAAATGTTGAATTTCATGTGTCTGGTTTTCCCATCAAGATTAATACACCGGCTTACGGAGTATTGCTACAATTTCTATGAAGCTCTGTTTAGTCATATAAGAACGCTTTCCTCGAACTCGAAAGCAAGCTGATCCGGCTGATCGAAATCAAATCAGATAACGTAAATGTGCGAATTAATCTGTTGTGGGTACGATTAGGTTGTACTTTTTTTACTTAATGTTAACTTAACACAAAGTTATGTTGATTATTGCAACTGTTAGAGTTCACAATGGAAAATTCAGACATGTTTCTGCAGAAGGCATGGCATGGCATGGAGTCCATGGTGCTGGGTTCATCCATTGATGTGGTTGGAGGTTAGCAAATTACAATTACATATATAGCTCAAAGAGTTGTTATTGGCACTTCAAAGTCAATCGTCCTACACCTCGCCCTAACGCAGTAAATGAGCTAGATTAGTGTAACTGACTATTTTGAAGTGAAATTATATAGTGTGGTAGCCAAATTATATATTTTTTTTCTTCATACAAATTAGATTGACAATATTTTTTTTCTTCCTAAATCAATCTAACGGGAGAGTGCAATTGGGATTTTAATAGATTTATAACTCTATGGAACAAACTTAGATTAATTAATTTGTAAAAATTCATGTAAATTTGATTCAGTTCTTTCAAAGTCTCAAATGAGAGATGATATTTGTGAATGCTTAAAATATATTACGAAATCTCTCAAATTTCCTTGAATTCCTCAAATTTTAAAAATTCTTTCAAATTAATTCCTAATGGAACAAACTTAGAATGTTATAAACTTTTTTAAAATACTAATTAAATAAACTCGGATTTCTAAGAATTAATAAACTATCTCAGGAAGGTGTATTCAATTGGTTTGAGATATCTTAATGGATTTATAAATCCATGGATTATTATGGAGTTTAATTGATTTGAGATTCCATGTACAACTTTGACTCAATTCCCTCAAAATCTCATGGGGTGAGAGATGTGAGATTTGTGGATGCTTAAAATACACTACGAATTCTCTCTAATTCTCTCGAATTCGTCAACTTTTTAAAATTTTTTAAAATCAATTTCTAATTCAATACATCTGGAATGTTTTAAACTTCTTTAAAATTCTAATTGAATACACCCGGAATTCTAACTATTTTAATAAACCATCCAAAAATGCTGATTAAATACGCTTTGAGTTTAAGAATCACTTAAAATCCTAATCAAATCCCCTTAAATTTATTAAAAGAATTAAAATTGCTCAAATCCCAATTGAATATACCACTTAGAATCTTGATTGAATACAATTTGAATTTAGAGAAACATATAAAATCTAATCAATTTGGATTTGAGAGGATTTTAATGGATTTTGATAGATTTATATACATTTTTGTTATAAATTTTTATGGATTTGTACGTACTTCATTTGGATTTCTTAGGATTTCTCGCCATTACCATCGCCAAAACTATATAAACATGATACTCAATCATTTTTCTTTGTTCAATTAGATGGGTGAAGTTGTAGTTAGATAGTCCTTTGTTCAATTAGATGGGGTGAAGTAGCCTGTTCCCTTAATTTCTCTACCTTCCAGCCAACAGTATTCAGCTTATTATGAACCTGCAATTGAGTACTTAGCTACTTCCAGCACCCTTCCGCGACTCATACAAGTTGTCAAGAGCTCTACAAAGGAGAAGGTCATCCGTAAATAAGCTAACACGTGCCAAGGAAGGGCTTCCGTGCAGAGTAAATGTGTGAAAAACTCTGCAACATTCTGTAGCTTTTCGTTTCTTGTCGTTGGATGGTGAATACTGTTGGACAAAGCTCTTACCAAAATTATCCTGATGGATTTGTTGAATGCCCCCCTCCTCCTCGTCAGCAACATATGTTTCCTACAAAACCATCACATCAAATTCAAAATTTAATTGGCTTTGCCAGCCAGCTGACCCGCATAATTTATTTGCAACAAGAGACTGCAAGGATTAGCTCATTATGATTTAGCCTATTCTCTCATCTTTTAATGTAGGTAATTTCGTTTATTTAAAAGAACAAAAAACTGTACTTTTGCTACAACCTAATTTCAAAATCATTTAACATCCTCTTTTAAAATTCGAATTGACTACAACGTGATTTTAAAGTTTTTGAATATTCTTTTAAATTTTAAATTTTTGGACGTATACTAAGGAGATTCTATTAAAAGTGAGATTCTTTATGAATTCTTCTTCATCTCATATTGTTGACACAATTCTCATATTAACGTAATAAAATGTTGTGTCAAAAAAATAAATGAAGGAGAGCCTGAAAAGTCCCAGTTTGAATAGATCTCCTTCGCATTTGTATAAATTTTGTCAAGGGAATTCGTTTTCTTCTAGTTTTACCCCTACTAAGTTTGCTTTATTACGTTTTTACACGGAAAAAAAGGCCCCCGCACTCATCTTTTTCTTCCCGATTTCTTCCTGCCTTGCCGTTGTCTTGTTTTACCGTTGCTAACTTGGTGCGACTTCTCCTCACCAAGCAGCCACTCTGCTCTAGATCTTTCAAATTGAAGTTCCTCTCCTTCAACCTTTGCATGTTGGATTTCACATCAACAACATCTCCCTATAACCTTGGAGCTTTGTTCGGATTCAAGCTTTTCGATGGTAATTGGACGACTCATCCGACACACGCCATCTAGGTTAGTTTGAAATGATTCGTACCTTATTGACCTATTGCATGTCAAAATCGGCTTCAAAATTGTGATTTAATATAATTGGGCTTTTGAAAAAATTTTCATGATTTTGTCTAATCCAATTTAACGGTTAGAAATTTCATCTGGGGACTGCAATTTCATCTGCTCCAAACAAAATAGATTCTTTTTATTCTGAATTTAGAAAATTATATTCGAATTTGTTTTACATTTGATTCAGTTGGATTCCTTGTGTTTTAGTGTTTGCTAGCCTGAGTTGTATATAAAGAAAAAGAGTGATTTTTTTTTTTGGTAACTTTTTGGGCCCAAAATAATATTGTTGGGTCGAGTGTAGGTTTATGCTCGGCCCAAAGCTGTGTCAGAAGTATTATGGGCTGTGGTGATTCCGGGCCCTTCAGTAGGGGTGGTCGAGTCCTATCACAAGAAGGAGTAGTTCAAATAAGAAAATGGATCGAGGAAGTCCTAGTGCAATTAGGATTATCGGTCAACAATGAATAAAGCCCTAAAAAGGGGTGAGTTCAAAGTTCTAGTGGGAGTAGGATTGTTCGAAGCAAAGTTGGAACAAAACAAGGAATCCCAGTCCGGCTATGAGTTTAATTCAATCTCGAGGAGTTGGTACTATAAATACAAGACATCATGCAACAATTCGGGGACCTTGAATTCAACACACAATTGCCCTGCGCAAAACCTCTCAAACAGCTTGAGATTTTTATTTTCTTTTTCTCGCTGACACACCTTCAGTTTAGATAAACAGCACTGTTGCCGTAGAATCAGCCGACCGAGGAGCACCTTCAGTTTGGATAAACATCACTGCGTCGAGGCCGACTGGTTACCTATTCAAGTCTTGGCCGAGAAGGGTTTTCGAATCCTTGTTGGTAGAGGTTATCTTATTAGCCTTCTCGGTGAAGTAAGGTGTTACGAGCTACGACATTCGGCGTACTAGACGCCGAGTGATTTTATGATTGGATACTCACAAGTGAGTTTCCGAGTTCGGCATTCTGACGGCCGAACCACATTCACCATCAAGACATACATCACCTTTGAATATTTGTGTCCGTATAGTCTGGTGTTGATTCGACGTGCTTATACTCTTACGAATATAATCACGGTGACCGAATTGGGCGCCGACAATTTGTGAACTTCGCAGAGCTAGCAGCCTTGTCTTCAGGCTCTAGAACCCGAAGACCGAGAGCGTTCTTTCCTTGGTCGCAATCACAAGATAAAGAAGTCAGCAACGCGCTCAACGCAACATCAACAAATTTCACTCCTCGGCCGAGCTCGGCCGACGAGTTGGCACGCCCCATATTCAACCGAATGACTTAGTTAGCTTATTAGTTACTCGGCCTACGCGCCGCATAGGTTTTCTAATTTTTAGAGTCAACATTTTGGCACGCCTGGTGGGACATTGTGCTAGACCTTCAGAGTTCATAACCATTGAGACACGGTCTGTAAAAAAGAAAACAATCATGGGAAAGTCAACAACTGACTTACCAGTGCAAGGCCTTGGGCAAGATTTGCATCATGCGCAAAATCGGATCATTGTTGCACCGCCCGAGGCTACAAGTGCGACACGTCGAGATAAGGAAATTTGTCTCGGTAGACAGCATCGCAAGTGCGACAAGTGCGACACGTCGAGATAAGGAAATTTGCATCATGCGCAAAATCGGATCATTGTTGCATCCGCCAACTAGGTCGTTTCTTTGAAGACGACTCGATGAACAATATTGACAGGTCGAGCAATCGATTGACCAGAAAATGAATGATTTACTAGACACAATACAAAGCAACAGTGATACATAGACCAGGATGCTTGAACTGTTGGTCAGTAAAGCCTTCGGAGATGGCCATGTCGGCCAACCTTGGCAGCTTTCTTTTACAAATGCTCCAGTACAAGCCGAGAAAGGATCCGCTCGGTTACAACCAATTGACTTAGAGAACAGAGGAGGATCATGCAATAGATCTGACGAACCGAACCAGGGAGAAGAAACATCATCCGTTAATATGACCAAGGTCCAAAGAATGATTGACTCGGCCCTAAAAAAAGGGCCGAAGTTCCCAAAGTTCATCCACTTGTACCCAGCTTATGTAGGAAGGTTCGAATACCCTAGAGGCTTCAAGATCCCCGATTTCAGTCTGTTCGTCGGAGAATCGTCCTTATCCTCGTTAGAACATGTGGCTCGGTTCACGACGCAATGTGGAGATGTCAATAGTGACTTCCACAAACTACAACTATTTAACTTTTCACTAACAGGGTCAGTTTTCGCTTGGTACATTAATCTCCCACCAAACTCCGTCCAGAGTTTGGAGGAATTGGTCGAGAAATTCCATGAACAATTCTATCGACCAGGGATGG